GTTTAATACAGCCTATTCGTTACCATTTTGTAACTATTCAACTGTAGTGATATCCAAACTACTAGGAAGAATCATAGAGAAACTATGGAAGAATCTCAGGAACAAGTCACCGCGATCGCTTCTATGATTTTTATCTTTAGTGTCTTTAAAAAGTTTTCGTTCAGTCGTTCTTTCAAGTTTTTGTCGCATAATTTCGTACGCCATTTTTTGTTTACCGTTGAGCTATCAATCTATTGCAATAATTCGTTACTATATATTAGGACGCGTACCTCTTATTCAAGCCGGAAATTGTGTGAAATGTTGTCTCCGCCATAATTGAAATGAGAGGTTACTCAAGAAGACGATTGAGGGCGTGATTTCGGCTCTGATAGTTGGGCCCGATGCGTTTACACGATCAGAGCCATGTCGGGACACAACCCTATCGGAGTTCAACCCCAAGGGTTTAGTGGAGCCGAACTTGGCTCCCATAAAATGCTGTCGTGTAAACGTAGCAAATATTTTTTCCTATTTAATCAGAGATATTAATATAAACTGAAGCAATATATTTATAAATGATTTATTGAACAAAATATAAACTACAATACATGATGTACAGCTTAGAGCTATTTCTATAGCGATATATTTACCATTAAATTAGTTTCTACTAATGCAAGCCCATATTTGTTTAGAAATACTGGTAATTTAGAAAAACAATTCAGTTGGATGTATTTTTCACTTCACAGTATTGTAAAGAGTGGTAAAGCAGGTCATTTCTGGACAAATTTGTGAAATCAATGTTACCACTCTTTAATGATATTACATACTTTCTAACTGTAAGCATGTAATCACAGAAGATGCAATGCTTATGTTGACAAAATGACTGACAGTCGGCCATCTTTGTTAGAATTGCAACACAAATAAAATTGCATTTGTGTGAAACAATGCACTGCCTCTATTTCAAGTGAATAAGGATTACATTAAGTTACCAAAAATGAAATAATTTTGAATAAACACCCCAAAAATAATGGATCTGCCTTAGTGTGCTCTGCACACAAAAAGGTACTAGCAGTCACATTGAATCTTATTGAACATCCATCATGTTTCAATTATGCACCAAGTTTGAAAAATAAATCCATGAAGTTCTGAAGAAGTAATGAACACATGGAAAGTAACCCGATCAATTAGTCACTGGACTGTGTCAAATCAATGGCTAATAAAATTCTATGACCTTCAGAACCATAGAATGTGAGCTACTGATGCACAAGTGTTACAAAACAAATTTCTGAGAATGAACGAAATAATAGTCTTTATAAATAATACTACATGTATGTGAATAAATAATTTCTGTGGTAAAGTCATGCAATTCTGAGGGTGTTGGACGATCAGACAAAAAAAACTGTATATACTGAAAATGCATAGATTTGATTTTCATTTGTTTTCTTACAGCAAATGGAGATAACATTTTCCATCTTGAAATTAAAATATCTATTCAATAAAATAGTAGTTTCCATCATCTGAAGTAATTTTTGCGAAGTAGGGAGGGAAGATGCATGAAATAGTGGTAGGGGCAATTTTCACTTAACTAAAAAACAATACAAATTAATATAAGGAAATAAGAATTGTAAAATGTTGGCAATGACTTGCACATATTTAAAATATGTCATGTAGACTGTTTAATAGCTTATACAATCGCATAGTTTCATTAAGTATTATGAGGAAAACTAAAATGGGACAAAATACAATAGGTTTAATTGCACATGCACTTGGCAAGGTAAAAATAAATTGCATATATCAAGCAAATAGTTCTAACTTAAGAATACATAACTGCGCCCTCAGGGTATTTTGTATTACAATATCTATTCCAATAAGTACAATGTATAGTTTATAAAAAAATCTGCATAGGGCACATGGTTGTACTCACAGTAGTGTGTATCACAGTCTATTTTTGTCAATCACATGTTAATTCCTCTATCAGTTTCACCACTGCTACTGTGATGTCAGTGCTAGTTTTGATAGTGAAATTGACATTTAATCAACTTTGGCTAAATTTGAAAAAAGTTACATGTTGTCAATAAAATAGTCCCTGTTTATATTATGGGCACAAGATATGACCTGATGTGTGATGTATGTGTTAAGTTTATACTTGACTGGTCGAGGCATGTATGAGATATGTAGAACTGCATTCATTTGAACAAGATGACTGCCAGACAACATCTTGAATTTGATGGTGACAAAAATGCACATGCATTTGTACAGTGTAAGTCTTTAACCTTGATCAGTCCAAGCATGTCATAGATGTGGATCTGGGACTGTTTGAAAAAAAATGGCTAATAGTCGGCCATGTTGAAACCAATTCGAAAAAATAAAATGAAGTACATCACAGCCCCATTGTGTTTATTGTGGCCTTAAAATGGCTGCCATTCAGCAATCTTGAATTGAATCATGATATATAATGGATATAATGCCTGATGTTGTGTGAAGTTTGAATTTAATCAATCCAAGCTTGTGTTAGATACTGTTGGATATGGACGGTAGAATGGAGGTCAATCAGGTCAACAGGGACTAAAAAGTCCATATATACTTGTTAACATAGATTTCAAATTGTACACTAGCTATAACACAAATCCAGTGTGCTCACTTTAAATCAAATAAGTAACATGCTAAAATAAATAGTGAATACAAAGGATTATATATGGCATAAATTGAGAAAAAGGGTGAATACACTATATTGGACATGCACAATCATGAGAAGGTACTTTGGATCAATTACAATGGCGCAAGAAGTGTAATTAGAAGAGTAATTAAGCTATAACAAAAAGGGATTGTGATGAACAAGCTCGTACTGATGGCACCTGAAACGAGCAAAAAGTAGCACCACCTGAATCTGTACTGTAATCACTGACTAAGCTCAGAAATAAATTATTTCACTTAGACATGAAATGGTATCTCAGAATTACTGATGAGCATATTGTACTCTAGTATAACTTATAATATAGACAAAAAAATTATACAAATGTAAATGTTACAAGAAGCCTCTAGTATATCCTTAAAGCTAACGAGAAATTTATTTCTCGCATTTAAAAATAGCGTAAATAAACAAAATATTGTTTTAAAGTTATTTGAAATAGCATAAATGGCAAATAGTCATTTCCTGATTGGGAACAGCCTCAGATTTAGATTTATTATCATAGTTTTGGACTGGTGTTAAACTAAAGATAGACAATCTTTTTGACTTTCTTATAAATATATATTCAGACTGAATGACTTTATTCTATTTTATTTAAAAAAACTAAAATGTTTATAATTAGGCAAAAAATCAAAAAAAAAAATCAAAGCTTAGAACTCTTGTGTGCTCTGAGAATTGGAGGTACATGAATCAGAAATAGGGTACATTCAAAATTACTTTTCAAACAAGAAGCCTGGTGACTAAAATAACTCTGCAATGTGACACACAGTTTATAATACTGGTACTATTAAAGAAACAATAGCAGTGAACATTGTTTGTTAAAAATTATTATAACCATAAGGGGAAGACCAAATCTAAAAATAATGCTTTAGATAAAATTGCATGCACAAAAGTATCCCTACACAAGGCTATATCACATAAAATGCCATGTGAAAACCATTAGTGAAATTGGTCATGTGAGAGGGGCCACTGTAGAAAATTGTGACACTGCGCACACTATTATTTGAAGTGACACATAAAATGCCATGTGAAAACCATTAGTGAAATTGGTCATGTGAGAGGGGGCACTGTAGAAAATTGTGACACTGCGCACACTATTATTTGAAGTGACACATAAAATCATCAGTGAGAGACTGTTAGGGAAAAGCTTAGCATCTCAAGATTACAACATGATTTCACCCAGTCCATCTGGTAATTTGTCATCTTCCCTAATCCCTGAGGTTTGCTTGACAAAACTGGCGCCCTCTGGAGACCTGGCGACGTAACCCAGGTGTCATCTTTTTTCACCTACAAGTGATTTAATGTACAACAGAGCATTTATGCAACAAGTTTAATTTAAATCAGAGATATTAAAAAATTGTCTAATTCATGGAAAAATTTAAATCTTGTATGTTTAATAGCCCAGAGTATCTATGTACCAAGTTTCATTGAAATCTGTTGGATGGTTCTTGAAACAAGTGAAAATGGCTAAAATTGGCTAATTAATATGAAAATTAGATAATTAATAAGCATGGATGGCAACTATAAAAAAAATAAGGTCTGCACATTACTAGTATTCCAGATCATCTATGTACAAAGTTTCATTAAAATCTGATGATAGATTCTTGAGATATCAGTGGAACAAAGATGCATACACACACACACACACACAGGCACACTAACTGCAAAGACTCTTATTATGTGATTTGCTGTAGGAGTCAAAAAAGTTTGCTTCTAAGTCTGTCTTTTTTCATTTTTCAGTATTTTGAAAGGAACTTGATCAAATCAAATCGTGTTTTGAAATGTCATGCTTACAACCCAGGAACAGATCAATTAAATGTGTTGGCCTTCTGTAAATTTGTTTGGCTACACTCGTCTTTTTTTAAGCTCCATGCTCTAATACAAACATTTCCATGAAATTATCCCGATATAATTACGTTTATCATTTCGTTTGCCATAAATTTTCATACCAATTTTTGTTGTAAATTTTTAACTAAATAGACATAATTTCTTCTTGGCTACAGAGCTGAAAGGTGACAAAAGTTGACCATGGCATTTAAATAGTAATTTTGTTGCTGTTTTCATAATCAGTAAAAATGTAAACTAACTGAGAAAGTGTATTCAGAATGAATCCTCAATTATAAAGTGTAGACTTCAGACAATCTACTAGTAACGCAGGATTCTATGTAAAAGACTATCATGTAAATAAAGTTAAATGGATCTGGCATGAAACAATAGTACTGCTACATCTATCACCAGCTTTGAAAATACAGATCTGAGTATTTCAATGAACCAATAGAAATAAAGTCTATCCTGCATATATACTGAAACTTTAGTGAGTACCCAGACATATTTTTTTAACTCGTTCTGTGGTTGAACCTATATTGATGGCATCCACTGAATTTAATGTAAGTACACTTCTCGCAATAAAAATGTTTGATTCACACTAGCTTTCCATTAGCCAGTTTTCTGTGGTATTAGTTTATTTTTCACATCATCACTGCTGGCGTACTTGTCGTCATCTACAGTGATCAAAACTTCAGACTCTGACCCATTCTCACTGTCTTTTTCATGGACTTGACGTGAATATTTTACCGATTTTGAGCTGCTTTGTGGAATAAGTTCAAACTCAATTGTTTTCTTTCTTCTCTTTCTCATTAGGATATTATCCACTACCCAAAACATGATGGCCTAACAAAGATATAATTCATATACAAACACGGTTAGAAAATCTTGTAATACATATACAAAACCTACCGGTACATCTTTTTATTAAGAATGAAACAAGTGACAAGGGAAAGAATTCAAGCTGCAGCAACAAAAATTGGGGTTTTCGTTTAGCATTTGTACAATGAATATTGCAGGAAAACTAATAGATAATATGCATATTGTATTGTATTTCACAATTCAGTACTTACATTGACGACAAATGGAATAATTAACATAACAATGGCCACCTCTAACCGAGGATCACGAATAGGAGATAGTATAAACTGTCGCACCTGAAAATAAACAGAGAAACCTTAAAATTGTATACAACTTTAAGGTCTATTACACAATGCTTTAGAGGGGAACCTTCTAAACCCTGGGATTGCACCAAAGAATCATGGGACACTATTGTTTATGTTGTTTACAATGTAAGTCTATCTTTTTTTATCCATTGTAATTTTAATCCAGAAAGTAATCTGTTGTGAGATTAGGCTTAACTGGAGATGCCTCTTTATTAAGAGTTGAAGCACAAGACAACAATGACAAAACACAAGACAAAAAATAAAATGATTAACACTGGGTAATAAAGTAATCTGTTCTTTACATAAACCTAGAACATTCTATCTACCATACTCAAACAACTTTGCACCCAGAGTACTTGGCTCCCTAAAGGGTGGACACTTAGTTGGGCACCCCCTCCCTCTCAAAAAATTATCAAAATGACAATTTTCATTCAACTTGTGGCTGTTTACATCTTTGGAGGAAATAAAACATTGTTTTATAATTTGAGTTGCATCATGATTGATTTTTCCACATAAAGCTAAAATTTCTACATTTTTACAATGTCGTACACATTTTATTACAATATTTTGTACGTGTTATCAGAATTTATGATGTTAAAATTATCCTTAACTTCGTGGTCAAATGTTTTTAATCATATGCAAACTCTCAATGCAAGCAATTTCCACCCTGCAACAACGTCTAATAGCTCAATCTAATACATGTAATAACCAATCAGAATGCTGTGTCATAAGCAATTTTCTGGGAATTCCTGAATATTGGCAATGCATTCTTTTTAATGCAATGCGGAAATGAATTACTAATGATGAAGTACAATCTGTTGGCACTGATTTTGGCCAAAAACGTTATGATTCAAAAAGTAAACTCAGTGTAGAAGACTTAGTTCACCTTTGACAGATGTCAACAGGTCATTGTCGAATGGTAGTTTACCAGTTCATAATCATTTCAAGACAGACACTATGAATGTTGTAATTATTTGAAAAAAGTAAAATGATGTCCAATGACCAGGTTCCATTACTTGATTGTCTTTTTGGAGTATTTTGGGAGGGACAGCGCTAATTTGAACTGGACTCCAGAAATAGAAAATTAGGGGTTGGGCGCTTGGTCGAGCATGGGCGTTATTAAAGTCTGTCTAGTACAGTATGCATATATTTGTGAAAAGCTGATATATTAGAACTGTACATTTTGTATGATTGTTGAAATACTATGGTTTAGTGTGTACATTCTGGTAAAACAAAAATGAAAGCTTTGAACATATATACATTGTACTAAACTATATTAGCAATGTGCCTCTAGTACATGTACAAAGATATTATTTTAACAATATAAACACTCACCTCATCCCAGAATTTAAACTGCACTAATAATGTAATAAGTACTTTTTCTATGATGACCACAAGAATATAGAGTCCACATTGCCCAATCCAGGCATTACAAGAAGGTGGTTCACCATATTCACCAAATCTCAATGAATAGCAATGTTGACTTCTCACAATAACCTGGGTGATTGTTAAACCAGCATAAATAAAAAAAAGACCTACAGTGGAATCCAGTAAAAAGTTGATGATGTACCTGTACAGACAAAATACAGAATAATATTACCATGTTGTAATCACTGAGATAAAGCTGACACTAAAGGTATCATGTATGTATAATTTTGATCAAAATTGTTACGGATAATTACCAGTGCATTTGTATGCCCTTGGATATATTTAATAAACAATTGTCTTATTTAATTCAATAGTAATATCAACATAGAACACATTATCATGGATATGTATTGTCGCATACGACTTATTTACCACTTCCGTGTCACTGAGAATGTTCTAGAAACGTACTGTGTCTGGGTGGAATATTCTAGATTTTTTAGATAGGTAATAGAACACTGTAGGAGGCAATAGAAGGTAATGGAACATTCTAGAAATTTATAGTAAATTCCAAACTCATTATGTATGCTGATGTAATGGTCTATTTG